GTCTCACAAAAATTTATATGCCAGCAGTGTCTTCAATCTGATTAAAAATTCTTAGTACATGGTTACTCTTATTAAAAATATTATGCACCTTAAATTTTGTGAAAACTCTTGCTTATCTTCGGCAGCCATAATCGGGTTATTCGTTAAACTTTTCACTCTTTCCCTGGAAATTTCTTAAATAGGTGGCAACCCTGTTGAAAGGGAAAAAATAATTTTTTTTCGCGCTTGCAACCATGCACAGACGCATTATTCAATAGAAAAATTTTTTTTCCCTGCCAGCGTTCATACAAACATTAATATCTAAATAATATGTTTGCACATAAAAACGTAAATATGTATGCAGAAAAGATTGCTGCAGCAAAAATGCTAACTTTTTATTATTATCTCGCTGATTTTAGTTTTCTGCACACGTACACGTAATATTAATCATAATTTAATACTTAAAAATTATACTTGAGAGATATACATAAATATTTCGTACGCATTTGCAAATGTACGCATGCAGCCTTAGAAATATACATATATAAATACATATGTATGTGAATATTTGCGTATATCGTTCGATTTTTGCACATTCAAATGTGTGTGTGTTTTTTTTTTTTTTTTTGTGCGGTCCGCTATTCATAAAGCTTTTTATTGTTTGCAAGTGTATGTGTGTGTACATATACATGCAACGGTAAAAATTCTTACTTATTATTTATACAAAAACAGATTTTTATTTGCACAGACTTGACTAGCAAGCCATAAAATTTATTGGTATCCTTAATGGCATACCAAAAGAACGAACGGATGAGCATTTATTTCTATAGTAATTTTAGTGCACAAAAAAAATATGTATTAAATTTGTATAATTCATGAAAAATGCGTAATTGCCTGCCAAAAAATATTGTTGTTGTTTGTGTGTATCCGAGCGAACTACTTTTGCTCTGAACTTTTTCATCAATTTATTGTAGGTGTGCAGCTGTTTTTTTCTTTTGTTTTTTGTCCCACCTTTTTTTGTTTTTGCAAATTTAATTATAAGCATTTGTTTATGCCTGAGAAAAAGCTTAAGGTTAATTTATACATATTTCAGTAAGCATGTGTAGTTAGGCGCCGCAATGGCGTTCATAGATTTTAATAGAATTTCAAGCACGCATGATATTCGCAAGGTAGAAGTGACAATGGTGTCTTTCTTGGCTACCGTAAGCTCAAATATTAGTATATTCATTTTCATATTTCATAAGAAAATTGCGCAAGGGGTATATGCCACTTTTATTTTTTTATTAAAAATATTACTATTTCCGAACACATATTCTGGTATCTTTTAAAGCATTAAAAAAAAATTAATAGTTTTTATCAAAGTACTCTTTTGGCTTCTAAAAATGATGACCGTCCATATATAGCATGAAATATATTTTTCAGTGCATAATCACTTTGGTACGAATCAAATAAGTGCCAGAAGGAAAAGAGATAAATCTATCATCACTTATTCCCATTTGATCGAAATGACGAGCTGTATTGATCTATGCATATCAGTCTATCCATCTGTACGTTTGCTCCCATTTCCTGCTGTCCATCAGCTTGTCTGCTTGAACACAAACTAGTCTCTCAGTTTCAGAGAGGTCTAAACGAAAATTTCTTTTTGCAAAGTTATTAATTGTGCTCACCTCTCGGCGAGATATGTACGTCAGGCCTGGCATGAAATCAATTGTCTTCTCCATAAAACATTTTAATAAAATATTAGGATGCACAAATTAGAGAAGAAACTCTGACCGAATTCGCTTCAGCATTCGTGAATAACAATTTATAAAAAAAAAATTCTTGAAAGTTGTAAATGCGGCACTTTTTCTAGTTTCAATTTAGTTGTATTCTTTGTCGCATGTAACATTTTTTCTACGCCATAAAACTCATGCGCTTTTAATTAGCACAAAATTTTCGATGAAAATCAGTTAACAATATGTCACGAAAGTAATGTTATTTGAGCAAAAATAAATAAAATCTGTATCTCCTCTTGATACTTGGCATTTTTTAGTAAAAAATATTTGATACCTCCATTTATACGCACTATTCTTTGATCTATTTGATGTATTTTCGAAGCACTAATTAAAAAAAACACTGTTTTTGTATATGTGTCGCATGGGACATTTCGATGTGTGATAGTGTAAATCAGGGAATTACTGGTTCTTTGTATAATACAAATTCTCAAATTTTTTTATTTTTTTAAATTTTGAAGGTTTAGAAATAGTTTAAAAGATAAAAGTCAAGGACCAAATCTCTATCTTTTAGAAAATTTACTTAGTTCAAAAATTAGTTTCGAGCTTCAATTTGAATTTTATATTTTTTGGAAATAATGAAAAAAAAATTATTCTAATTAAAAGCATATAAAAATAAGTTTTGTATAAACAACGGTTTGGAAATAAAAACAAAATATTCAGAATTTGCAAAAAAAAAATGTTTTATGTCAGCTTTTTAATTTCTGTTTCAGAACCTTTTAGTATATTATATATATAATATATATATGCCTGGTTATATGTTCTCCATCTGTGAACTTTTTTGAATCTAAAAATATATATTAAATCCATTTTTCACTTTTTCTCTGGTGCATTTGTGGTCCGATTCAATGTATTCAACTGCACATATTATGGCATACACGCACAATAAATGATCTTGCGTACAATTGTCATAAATCACAGATACACGGCTCTACACACAATCATATATACGCAAACGCACATATAATTTTTAATCGTATTGGTATTGGTTTCCGTCCCAAAAATTTGTAAACGAATTTATGCTTGCCACAGAGCTGCTGAAATGCAGCTGGGGTTGTAAGGTCAGCGGTTGGCTTTTAATTTCATACCGATTTATATACGGTATACGTAGTACATCTGTGTGTAGCGCTCAAGTTTCACTTATTTGTTGTCTATATATATATATATATATATATATATATATATATTACTAGATCTGCTTTAATTACAACAATGCATTTGATTGGTTTTCAGGTAATTCCATTTGCTCGTCAATATTTCTTTTGTAATTCGCACATTCGCCGAACCACATTGGCTTTGCGGTCAGAATCGCAATAATATAGTTATTATAATTGTTAATTAATATATGTGTTGATTTATGTGTACGCACATGTTCACATGCTCACATACACTTACATCATTTTGTCTAGAAGGCAATATTTGTGTAAGTTAAATCATAAATTGCCATTAATGGCTTATAAATTTGAGTTCAATGTCATTAAGGTAGAATTTATCAGCAACGTTTAACTAATTAATAATGAAACTTTTTTTTTTATTTTTGTGCACTTGTAATAGCAGTAGGCAATCAGGCGCCGCAAGTAATTGTAATTTGTTGGTTTATTCAACTGTAAGGCTATTTTTCAACTCAAGTCCTTGGCAAATGATATTTTCTGCTATCGAGCTTTCAAAATTTTTATTTTAAGAAATTATGCTAACAAAGGTCAATTACAAGGGTACTCATAATTCGGCGGAAAAAAGTAAAATAATTAGAAATAGCAATATTTAATAATTCAATGAAAATTAGCGAAAAAAATCACTGCGAAAAATATATTTAAATTAACTCATGTATATACTTTCATTTGTGCATAATTTCATTTGTTTCTCCAACTATGAATAGAATATTCCTGTTGAGTTGAAGTAGATAAAAATTCAACTTAAAAGTGCTCTCTCACTCTCTCAGCAAAACAATGTGCGGAATCACGAGTGACCCTTCAAAAATGAAATAATTGTAAATAGGACACTTATATTTGAATGCAAATGGAGAGATGAAATAATAAAGGGAGAAAATAGAAAATAGAAATTGCGAAACACATACACTCACGCACACACACAACTACGAAAATCGCAACTTAGAAATCAGTTATAATATTGAGCATCTCTGAGGGAAAACTTACTGCTAAATTTAAGCTAAATTTTCAAGTAGTCGATCCAACTACAGTTACAACAACAGTAAGCAGTTGAAATAAATTTTTGCGGTAAAAAATAATGAATTTTTGCAAATAGCACCAAAAATATACATAAGTCATAAGCAGCGAAGGGAAGAGTTTTTAGCGAGCTTTCAAAGTCGCTTTGCAAACCAAAAAAAAAATTAATTCAAATTCGACGTCAAACAGCAAAAATATAAATATTTTAGTTAATTCAAAACCACTATGCTAGCGTACAATTAGCTATTGTTGTTGTTGAGTTTTTTCTGTTCTTACCACATCACACTAACCAACTTTAGTTTGGTTGTCAGCGCGCAGCTTGGCCACTTGATTGTGGTAAATGACATGTCTGGTAACGGCTGCGTTTGAAGCTAAATACACCAGCAGCTGGTAAGGGTCGAAGGGATGGCAACAGACTTGATGTCGAAATAACTTCATTTTAATGGTTTTTCATTGCTTTTAGTAGCATATTCAAATTGAATTAGCGACAAAATGTAGAAGCAAATTAAGGAAATTATATTAAAAATGGAAAAAAAGTTAAAAATACTAAATGAAATAAAAAAAAATAAAATAATAAAAAATAAATAAAAACAGATCTTTATTCAAAGAATTTTCAAATTGAAAGAATGGTGGCAAAAATATTATTCATAGACAACCTTTTCCCTTTGTGATAATATTTTTAATTGAAAATTTTTATTTAAAAAAAATTATAAAGCGAATCTAACTTTTTTTTAATTATTTTTCATTGATGTAAAAACATAAGAAAAGAACTTTTTATGAAATTGTTTTTATGAAATTTGTTTATATTTACAGTTATTTGCAGACTATTTCTATAACAAATGTCAATAACGAACACTTGAACTTTTATCTGCCATCTCCGTACACAAATAGTACATACACATACATACACATGTATACATAAGAAACATTTGTTTTGTCCCAATTTCATTACGGCATTATTATATATACACATTTTATATCCAAAGAGATTATATAAATTTAACTAATTTCTACCACATCTTCTCTTTCACTCATTCTCTTTCTCTCTCTGCTGCACATTCTATAGGTTATAAGCGCGTTGCTTGGCCACCCGTATCGGAGGAGCGTGTCGTTAGGGAATTCACACCCCAACCAACTTCAGCTCATTATCCCGTTTCGGCTCCTTATCAGCCACAACAGCAACAACAACAGCCAGCGCAACAGCACCAACCACAACACTTGCAGCAGCCGCAGCATCAGCAGCAGCCATCCCATCAACAACAACAACCGAACGCTGCGCCAACTAGCCAGGTAATTATTAACGTTGCCAATATTCGTTTAAGCACATTCAGAAATATGAGAATGTAATAATATATGAACAGAGCAAAATACAAAGTAAAATAAGTGGTTGCAAATAAAAAAATAAAACAACAACAGACAAACAAAGATAAACAACAAAATTTATTACCTAATATCGGCTTTGTAAAATATATGGGCATTAATTGTAAGAAATAACATATCTACATAATAGGGGTATTCGCTTGGTATAGGAAATGCAGCCTAGGGTGCACGATTGTACAGTTTTCTTATGCATGTAATGGCACAACAACAAAACACATACGAAAAAAAATGTAAAAAAAAGAGCCTACCTATGTCAGCTAACTGAAAGCTGTTTGATTTGAATCTACCAAAATCATGCAAATGGGATGCGCTTTATAGCGCATTTACTAGACCAAGTGAATACCCCTGTTATGAATAATAAAGTAATCAAACAATGTACAGTAGCATTTGCGCCGAATTTCACCAAAAGCCTGGAGAAACAACGCAACGTCCTAATGTTAAATAATGGTTGGCCGCTGATAAAATGGAACTTTGTATATAGCCTTAAATGATGAATAATGCGTGGGATTTGTTTTGTAGTTATACTTGCATTTTTCATTAAAAACTTTTATATTTGTTTAATTTTAGATCATTTTTAATTTTATTTTTATTTTTGGGAGACTTTTTTATTTTATATATTGTATATATATATTTTTTTGTGGAATTCGATTAATTTTTATTTTTTGTTTGTGTGTTCTTTTAAATATTTATTTATCTAATTTTTTTATTTTATGTCTTATACATTTTTAAAACTATTTCATTTTTTAGTTATTAAATAACTAATACTTACTTCTTCATTAATATTTTTATAAATTATTTATTTATTTATTCTTTTTTTTATTTAAGTATTTCATTAGTTTTTTATTCACTTATTTATTTAATTACATTTTTTTTTAGTTCTTTTTAATTTATTTATTTATTTATATATTTAATTAATTACTTATTAATTTCTTCATCTACTTGTTTATTAATTTATTTAACTGTTCCTTTTTTTCTTCATTTATTTAATTTTGTATATATTTTATTTATTATTAAAATTATTTAATAATTCGCTAATTGTTTTATTTATTTTTGTATTTATATTTATTTTTTATTAGTTAATTTATTTAATTATTTGTTATTTGCCTGCTTATGGTTTTTTCTATTGTTATTATTTTATTTATTTATATATTTATTTTTATTTATTTTTCTATATATTTAATTAGTTATTTATTATTTTCTTCATTTATTTATTTAAATATTTTATCTTTCCTTAGTTATATATTTCACTAGTTATTTATTTTTATTCATCAATTTACTTGTTTATATATTTAAATTATTATTTATTTACTTCTTCATTTATTTGTTTATTTAATTTCTCACTTATTTACTTTTATACGTTTTCATTATATTCAGTATTTAATTATTTGCTATTTGTTTATTTATTGGTTTATTTTTTTATTAAAGTATTTCATATATGTTTTTTTAATTAACTTATTTAATTATTCGTTTTTCTTTTTATTTATTTGTTCATTTATTTATTTTATATTTTTTTATTAATTTATTTATTATTTTTTTTATATTTTTTTTATTCAATTGTTTAAATACTTATTTATTTATTTATATTTTATTTATTTATTAATAATGATTTTATATATTATTTATTTTTTTACATTTTTTGTTTGCTTACATTTTTAATTACCCAATTTTATGTATATAAATGCACACCAAACCTCTGTACATAGTGAAAGCAACCCAACTTCAAAATTTAAAAAAAAATTACTTACTAATTAAAATTTATAAAAATCATCTGTAAATATTACTAGTTAAGTTTTTTTTATTAATATGAAAGGAAGGAAGAAGTAAAACACAAAAGGAAAGGGTTAGAGAAGCCAACTTAAAATTGAACCTATTAAACTTTTTTTGTACTTGATAATGGTGGAGGTTAGTACTAAAAGGAGAACTAATTAACAATAGAGAAAATTAATTATATTTAAATGAAATAATATAAAATTGGAAAACTAAATTAATTAAATTTAAATGATTAAGTTTAATTTAATTTAAATTATCATTTAAGTTATGCGGTATATTTAAGAGCATAAAATGCCATTCTCATTAAAAATATGCCGGAAATGTGTCGCCATAATTAAGATATGATTTTTTCATGCCAGCTCGTGATATTAACTACCAAACTTAAAGATATCTCAAGTTTTTAAAAGTTCATATGTATGGATGTGAGAATTTTTTTTTTAATGTTTTTGGTATGACAATCATGTAGATATTTGTTTATGAATTTATGCAAAAATAAGAAGTAAGCAACACAACAATAAAGACTATTATGCAATACAAATAATTCAACTGACAATTTTTACAATTCACATTTATTTATTTGAAGAAAATATAGTCATTTATTCAGTTGCACCTTTCAATAAACATAGCTACAGTTCGTGCCAATGTACGCGGCAGGAAATGATCAACTTGCTAAAAATTCAATAAACCCAGTATATCTGAATTTATTTGAATTTTTTACAAAAATTAATTTTAATATCTTTTTTTAATTAAACTTTATGTATGTGATACTTTTAGAAAAATTTCAATACAGTTTGATGTTTTTCAATTTTGAATATCTTGTTATAACTCAAATTTCCTACAAGAAACACTTTCATCTGCATACACCATATAGGTGTATGTAACGAGTTATGCCATGTAAACGGCCATTTATATTATTGTTGTAGAGTGTCACCATCACGATCCATTACAATTTATCATTTCAAACTTAATAGCTGCTATTTGTTGAATGCATATGCACGTTTATATATGTATGTGACTATGCAAATACAATCTTACAAATACAATGCATTGGATTGGTATTTGAGCATATGTAGTTCTATATACATACACGTATATAAATATATTTGTGTGTAAGTTGAAACAGAATTTTTTACTATTTAAATATTTACGTTTGCACGCCGAAACATTCAAAATTCTCGTTGGCAACACCTTTGTTGGTAGACAGCTACACACAAACATACATATGTAGGTTTTGGCGTTGGGTGGGTGGAAATACAGACGCATTCGTGCGATTTTTTTTTTGTACTTTTTACTGGCATAAATGCATTTAAGCATATAAATACTTAATGTATGTGTGTGTTTGTATGTGTAGATGTGTGGTTGTATCGCTCGTTTTTTTTCCTCACATACAAATTTAACATGTGTAGCATTGCTAGGTTGGCAATTTCTCACTCGCCCCTGATGATGCTGCGTACGAATTCTTTTCTTTTATCGCTTTATTTATGCATCAAATATGTTTGTAGTTGAAATAAATGAAACTCGTCTATGAAGTACAACATATAAATATATATATATACACATTCTAAATATATTATATTTAAATTAATCCAAATTGGCATTATCTGTAATGTGGAATTCCAATGCTCCGATTATTTTTAAACTGAATCTTTAAAAAAAAATATTTTTAGCAAATATTTTAGCTTAAAATTAATTGCAAGAAATTTGAAAATTTTCAATTGTCTTTTAATTCAAAATTAATAATTTGGGGCCTTAGATCTAATATGAAACTATAATATTATAAAAAATTATTAATATAAATTTTTATTTACTCAGCGGCCGAAAATCGCCACAGCGGTTTTTTGATCATTTAAATAATAATAAATTATCATTGATTTTATTACTCAAAAAATTACTTAATTAACCAAAAATAAATAATATTATAATAATTTAAATAAATGACACGAGTAAAGGAATTTATATAATTATTTAATATTTCTTAATTCAAGATTTAATTAACGGAGTAAATATTATAAATATGATAAGAATTTTTAAAACTATAGCTCAGTTTTCAAATAAAATTGACTAGTTTTTCGACTAAATAACTAATAAATTATTAGAAAAAAGTTAAACAAACATTTTTTAATAAAAATTCATTTAATTTTAGCTTGATTTTGATTAAGTTAGTTTTTATTTTTTGGCAATTATAAACTTTAATTAAATTAAAGAGTTGGGTTGATGATAACTGTAAGCCAAATTACACAATTAAGCTCGAACAAAAAACCAAGCAAAATTAACGTTTTTAGCACTACTAACAGCATATCATCAAATTTTTCCATAGTACAATAAAGCAAAAAAAAAATTCAGGATAAAAAATGCTAAAAAACTTAATAAAAATGTATATGATAATATGGTTAATTTTTTCAAGTACTTCTAACTTAAATATTATTTTTAGCCCTACTAAAATCACCAAAATATATATTATATATTATTTCATTTAAAAAAATTGCACAAAATTTTGCATTAGATTTTTTTTCTATACCACTTTAAGCAGTTAAATAAAACCAGATGTCATTTTACTGTTAATCAACATTTAACATTTATTTTGTTAATATTTCTTTTTCTAAATTGTAATAAAAGCTCATGCCACTAGCGCATATAACAATAAATTATGCAAATTAATTTTGTGAATACCCACGCGTGCACACCACAATTACAGTGCGAGCACCAATACAGTAACAATTATAAAAAAATGAGCGCGTACTCATTTCTATTAGTGTGATAATTAAAAGAGAAGAAAAAATCGGCGGTTACCACAAAAAGTCAAATGGCGACAGACCAATTCGTTGCAATATACACAACAGGGTATGCATATGCCACTTGTGTAATAGACTAGCCAAATAAATAGATAAATAAAAAATGGTCAGAATATGTAGCGTAAAAAAATTCAAAACTTTGGCAAACAACCAACATTGAAAATAGCCAAGAGCAGAAAAAAGCGCGTCGCAGACCACGCAACACCACAAAGCGCAAAACACAATGCGCGCATCACATTAAAACAAATTTGAATTCGGTTAGCCCGAAACGGAGCATTTCCAAGTAAATATGCAACTGTTTAAATATGCAAATACATATATGTATGTACATTCATGCATATAATGGGT